CTGAGTGTCTGTGCGTGCTGTCACCTCCACCTGCGTGGAGCGCTTCCTTCATGTGGTGGTTGTTCCTGACCACTGTGCTGGTGCTGGGCTAGTCACTGTCCTTCTCGGGATGGCGCTGTGCCCACACTGCAGTGTGGCAGGGTCTTCCATGGAGGAATGTGCCCACTGGGTAGGAGCCAGGAAAAGGACACCTAGGCTACACATGGAATGAGGAGCTCTTGGAGGCTTCTTAGAACCAGGACGGGGAGGAGGCGGGGGAGTGGAGAGAACTGCACGCACTAGTGTCGGAACACAGTGTCTCCACAGCTGTGTCCCAGGCTGTCTGCAGGGGAGGCCCATTTGAGCCTGGAGGGCCCCATAGGATGGTGTCTGTGCTGACACAGTGTGCTGTGCACGCTCTGTTAGAGACTGGGGATGATGGTGCTGGTAGGAGACCGACCCCCTGGCAGACCATATTCACTGGAGCCAGAGATATCTGTTCCCATGTGTGACCCAGGGACTATTTCCGACTTTCCCAAGACCCACTGTAAAGTCAGGGTCTTCCCAGGGACAGGGGAGGGCTTGGCCAGCCCTCATGGCTGGGCCTCTTCACACTGTCACTGGCTCATCACCCTCAGGTGGTGCTTCTGTTGCAGTCCTAGCCTTGCACCCAGGCCCATCTCCCTGCCCGTTCACCTGCCGCGCCCCGCCATGCTGCCACCCGCCTCCTTCTAGGGGAAGGGGGCCCTGGTGTGGTGGAACTTGGTATAGAGCTGGTCGTGGGGTAGGGTGGGTGACAGAGGGCCCTGGTTTAAACTCTGACCCAGGCTCTGAGACCAGACATGAACCCCACAGTTGGCCCCTCCCCTGCGCAGGCCCCCAAAGCCAGGACACAGCCCTGGCTGGGGACACAAGTTTCCCCCTAACCCATCACCTACCTGCCTTTTCAATTTCATCATAGTATTTTAAAGAGCAGAATTTTAATTTTGATGAAATTCAGACTTTTTATGTCTTAGCTTACAAAATCTTTGCCTAACCCAGCATTACCAAGATTCTTTCTCATGGTTTCTTCTGGAAATTTTGTGCGTTTACCTCTTACGTTTAGGTTTATCATCCACTTTGAGTTACTTGTGTAAATGGAGTAGAATAAGGGTTAAGTTTCATTTGTTTGTTTGTTTTTGCATGTGGCTGTTCAGTTCTAGCCCTGATTGTTTGAAAAGACTGTTTTTTTTCCTCCATTCAATTATCTTGGTACCTTAGTCGAAAATGAGTTGGTCACACACGTGTGGCTCTGTTCCTGACTCTCTACTTTTTTTCCTTTATCTGTATTTCTATCTTTACCCCAACACAATACTGCTGTGTTTATTATGGCCTTATGCTAAGCCTTGCAATCACTGTGAATCCTTCAATTTTCTCAAAATTGTTTTGACTATTGTAGGTCCCATGTATTTCCAAGTAAGTTTACAATCAGCTTGTTAATTTCTACTGGGATTTTGATTGGCACTGTGTTGAATGTATAGATCAAGTGACACAAAGTGACAGCCAAGCAATACGAAGTTTCCTGACCCATGAACATAGCATCTCTCTCTGTCTGCTTTCTTTCTGATTTCAGTTTTCATGTACAGATACCACAGCACTTTGCAAAATGTATCTGCATTTCATGTTTTTGTGCCATTGGAATGGCATTTTTATTTTAAGTTCCAGTTATTCATTGCGGTATACAGAAATGCAACTGATTTTTGTGTTTCAAAATTTGGTATCTTGTAACTTTGCTTAATTTATTAGTTCTAGAAGCTTTATCATGTATTCCTTAGGATTTTCTACATGGAAAGTTTTATCTTTTTGGGCAGACACTTTCACTTATTTGTTTCCAATCTCATTACCTTTCATTTCTTTTACTTGCCCGATTGTCCTGCTGGAACCTGCTCTACAGTGTCGACTAGAAGTGGCGCTGAAGGTTGTCTTGTCTTCTTCCCAGCCGTCGGGGGAAAGCACTCGCTCTTTTACTGTTAAATACGATGTCAGCTGAGATTTTCTGTAGACCCTCTGTAAGGAGGTGAATATTTTTAACTGGCTGTATTGCTGACCAAAGCTGTCTGGGTTTTTCTAGAAAAGACGGAGGCGAGATGGATATGGGCAGCTCCCAAAGGGGAGGCCAGCTCTGTCTTTGCCATTGATGATTTATTAGGAAATAAGTATTTATTTTCATTAGAGGCTCTAAGTGCGGGCGTGGCTTATATCCAAAGTGACCATAGTGATGGTGCCTCTTCATAGACCATGTGTGCTTGGGAGCGACAAGTGTTGCCGAGAGCTAGCTCCCCCTTAGGCCATCGGGAGGCAGTGTGGCCTATAGCTGGGAGCTAGGAGTCTGGCCTCTGCAGCGTTGGCAGCTTCCTTAGCCTTTCTGTGTCAGCTTTCCACCTGCGAAGTGAAGACATCAAAAATATTAAAAATCCCTACCTCCAGAGGTTCCGAAGACTAAAAGAGCAAATGCAGTAAAGGGCTTAAAGCAGGGTCTGCTGTCTGGTGCACTTTAAGGAGGCTTTAGTTTGCATAAGGCTGATTCACACCCGGTGTTCAGGAGCCGGTTTATTGCTTGACATAGGCACAGCCACGCTGCTGGAAAGCCCTCTCTCCTGAAACCTCGTGGTAATGTTCCGTGAGACCAGCGGCCGGATGTCTGATGTCTGTGGTCTTGTCTTGCAACACTTTCCAGCGTTGTGTGCAGCCCGGGAAGTTGCCTGCAGGGTCACAATAGAGGGCTTTGCACTGTGTCCGCACCTGGGGGCTGGACTGGTCCAACTTTCTGGTCTGCTTGCTTGGACCAGGTGACGGTGGGATATTTCCCACACACTGCCATCCCACAGCCTGGACCGTAGGCCACTGTGCAGCCCCCAGTTGGCTCCTGCCTATTATTTCCTGCCAAAAAGCTCTAATATAAGGGACAGGAGCATCTCAACCTGTCACCATCCTGGGCATCTGCCTTTCTATCAGCGTGTTCCAAATCCTGGGTGCCATCCTTTGGTGAGAGGGAAGTCATGCCAGTCTTCCTGTTTGGTGGGGGAGGGGGCGAGGGGACACTTGCCAGCGAGGTGAGGTCACGCTGGGCCTGTGATACTGTGAATTTGACATGTAAGGAATGGTCTTTGGATCTGGCTGGCAGACAGAGGGCCTTCCCCTGAACTTGGGCTTGCTTTTCCTTTTGCCTCCTACTCTGAGGGGTGCAGTCACAGAAGGCTTTGTGAAGGGCCTTCTGCAAAGGTTCCCTACCTGAGTCCCTTTTCAGGCAGCTCTGCACAGTCCAGCCAGCTGCCTCTGACCGCTTTTCTCTAGACCAGTCCAGGAAAAGATTTACTGTGCACACTGGGTTTTGGAAATATTGAGACGTGCCCTCGACTCTCCTTGGATATATCTGCACACTGTTTTGCCCTGCCTTCCCTTTCCCAGGCGGCGGGGCCAGATCAAGGGAGTGTAAGAGGGCCTGTCTGCCAGGCTCCGGCCTGTTCTTCAGTGTGACAGCAGTTTCGGACCGGAGCGCTTGGCCAGCTCCTGTCCTCACCTCTGCAGGAGGCATCCTGCAAGCCGGTCCTTGTAAATCGCAAATTTCCAGCCTTTTCAGTTGTAACTGACACCAATGCATAGAGGCATCGATTCAACACACAGACATTCTCCTCTCCTGTGACCATCCTGAGAGGCCCTGGTTAGGTGGGGACTCTGGGCACACATGACAAGCTTCTCCAGACTGTGCCTGCTGCCCTGGGTGACTGCTGAATTATACATGGGTGCCAGTTCTCCGCAGCACTGCTTTCCAGTGGTGTACAAAGCCACAGGAGAGACCTCAGGCCCCATGGGATCTGGGAGCTGCAGGAGGCAGGTTACCTTCCAACAGGGGCTCTGGGCTGAGCTCACAACAAAGGGGATGCAGGTACAGGGTCCGACCTTCAATCTGCATGTTCAGTCTTTGCGCTCTCGCTCTCTCTCTCTCTCTCTCTCTCTCTCTCTCTCTCTCTCTCACACACACACACACACACACACACACACACATAAATGCTAAAAGTTTAAATATACTGTTAGGTTTCAAGACAAAGAAAGGGAAGAAGAAACACAGAAAAGTCAGAAGTACCAAATTTACCAGTGGTCATCTAAGAATTTCCCTTTTGTTCTACCCACGTGACTGTCAGCTTTGTGATTTGGCATCTTTCTCTTCTCTATGTATTTTCATCATTTTTATTTTATTCCAGTTATATTTTCTTGCTTCCCTCTAACTGAAAAACAAAGCAAACAAAGCAAAACAAAACAAAAACCCACAGCTCCCTCCATTAGAGTGACTGAAAGGCCGCCTTCCACAGAGTGGACCTGCTGCAGCTATTCACCAGATGCATGTGACGTAAACATGGCCCGAGTAGTCTCCAGTTACGGCAAATTCCTGACACACAGCAAACAGGCCCTACCAGGTGCCAGGTGGGCAAGAGACAATATGAGACAATGGGAGTACTTGACGGAAGGCGGTGTGGAAGTTTTGCTGCTGGTTAGATCTAGGTAGTAAGTTCTGGTGTTTAGGGCTCTTCGGGCTGTGAGGGGCCAAGGAGAACGGCCTTAGTTTGTCTGTTCACACGCCATCCTTCGAACTGCTTCTTGAACATCCGTGGCAGCTGGCGGTCATATTGAAGTGTGTGAGGAATTCATATAAGTACGTGGACTGGTCACACAGTACACTCGTGGCATTTCTTCATCTAGTGTGTAGCTTCTGCCAGTCACAGAGGCCGGCCCTGCGACACACCCATGCTTATGGATGCGTTGGCAGTGTGTGCATTTGCCACCTGCCTCGCTGCTAAGTGTGATGCTCTCAGAATGTCATGAGTGGTTCTTTTTCTTCTGTTAATATGACAGGTGGTGACCAAGAAGGAGGACTTCTTCGGGGCCTGGAACTCGTGTCTGCATCATGTCGCCTCCCTGTCTCTGGCACATGTTCACAGAGGTCAGTGGTTCTCCTCAATATTTGGGATTGAGTGACTCAGAGGTGACCTGGGAATGAGACTCTGCAGGGGAAGAACAGTCCCCACACCAATCTGAGCCCTGTGTTGAATTTAGGGTCCCCAACTAACTGCCACCTTCCTAGGAACACTGACCAAACGGCACCCACAGACGTCCATGCTGAACCCCAAGACCTGTGCACTTCGCACACCTGGCAATAGCCAGCTGGCAGCAGGGGCCTGCGGCAGTGGCCCTCTGCCAGTGGTGACTGTGTTCTCAAGTAGACAGATGGGAAGTGCGTGCACAGATAAAGTGGGTGCATTCTCACAGGGTCACTGCCTGGAGAACATCAAGTTAGCCCCAACCCCCGGATTACAAACAAGCTGGCCCTGCTTTTAAAGCTATGGTCTCCACACAGGGGAGCAGACTCTCGGGGAGCATGCCCTCGGGGGCCATGCAGCACCGTTTGGGGACAGTGTGCTTGTCACGACTGAGCAGACACAACTAAGCAGGGGAGAGGCCAGGGGCAGCGCTGAGCATCCTACAGTGCACAGACGACCCGCGCCAAGGATGATGTTGCCCAAATGTCAGTCGTGTCGAGGGTGAGAAACCCTGAGCATCCGTTTGGACCTTAAAAGACCAAACCCACATAAAATGAGACAGACACTGAAACCGGAGTGGGATCCATGGAGATATGGCGGATCATTCTTAAAATTATCGTTTAACCTCAAGAGTGGTTAGTGGCACCATCGCCCAGACCCCACGGAAGAGTGCAAACGAGGAAGGCATGCCCTGTACTGTTTGCCGTGTGGGGTCCCCAGCGCCCAAGATCACTGCAGGCCTAGGAGGCAGGGTCAGGTGTGATCACTACACAGCTCCGGGCCTGGCTGCCAGCCCTAGTGTCCCCGGGCACTGTCTCGGGGCCAGGATCCCTTGATGGGTTCTGTTAGAGTCAAGCCAGCCAGCCAGGACTGAATGTCCGTATCTGCCCAACTCCCAGCCAAGCAGCTACAGAAAAGACAGGGCCATGTCATTGAAGGCCACGGGGTGCCCAGGCTCCTCCCTCCCCTCAGCGCACAGCCCGGCTGGGACCTCGGTGAGCTCAGGACACTGGATCAGGGGAAGGAGCAGAACGAGAATGGACCAAGAGCATGGGAGTTCTTATGAGGGCAGGGAGCCCACAGGTGCCGCATACCCGGGCCCACCCTTTTACATGGAGGCCACAGCTGTAGCACTGCACCTGTGTCCTGGATTCTGCGGTGGGCAGGAGGGGCCGATTGGGACAAATGGTGTTCTCCCCTCAGGTCTTCCAGGGTCAGATGGGTTCCCTTGTAGGTGGATCCAGACATTTTAATCTGTCCATGGCCCACCGTGCAGGAAGCTCAGGGTAATGCACCTTAATCGGACTTGCACGTGATAGATGTCTGGACCAGAACGCCGTGTACTTTCCCTGAGTCAAAGCCAACTGCTGAGTCTGAGTCAGCACCTGCCCTGCCCTCTCTGCGGGGTCTCTTGTAGAACCCCACTGTGGTGAGGGGCGCAGGGCATGGACTGTCCCCACAGCTCTCAGTGGGGTGTCCGAGTGTCCATGCTGGATGCTGTAGCCTGGAGCCCACAGGTGTCTGCTTCCTGTAGTGACTAGTGCTTGGCAGCAGCCTCACCCTCAGGACGTGTATGGAAAGCGCCCTCTCCTGCTGGTGGATTACGTTCGGATTTATCCATCAGGCTGAAACTTATCTGGGAAATAAGATGGCATTTACCATGTCCTGGGCCTTCCCGTCTACTCTGTGTAGACTTCGGTGGCTCTGCTCTCAGGGGCTGTGGCCCTGCTCCCAAGCCCCTGTGTGCTGACACAGCTGTCACCCTCCCCAGACATGGGGATGAGCCATGCGGCTCCCAGGTGAAAAGCTTCTAAACATTCAGAGAAGGGACAAGGTCTGAAGGGGCGTCAAAGAATCATGGCCTTGTGCCTCTGCCTTGGAGGCATGGGCCGTGTACCTGGAGACCTGTCCTGCCTGCTGGGATGCATGGTTTGGCTTCACGGGAGGGCGGAGACTCCAGGCGGTGGGCTGTCTGAGTTCCAAGGCCCCATCCACCCATCAGTGACCGCCTTGTGTTAATCCACCTCTCTGAGCTTCAGGCCATCTTCATTTACAAAGCAGAGGTAACGATGATGTTGACCTGGGAGGTCAACATCCGTTGAGGAGATGTCTGAGAGTGTCTTGACCCATAACCAGTGTTCAGTAGAAATGCTTTGTCACTGGAAATTACTATTCTACAGAGACCAGATTCCCCAAATCGAAGGGGATTGTTTAGATACTTGCTCTTTGAGAGGAAGAAAAAGGGTAAAGTTAAACAGCTTAGATCCCATGTGTGAAGTCTTAGCGCCAGGAAGAAACATGGAGGATCTGGCATGGCCATGTCACAGGAACCCAAACTCTGGACTGGTTTGTGACCACGGTAGCAAAGGCAATTGCTTGTAGGAAATTGGCCACTGATTCAGTGTCACATGAAAGGGATTTGGCTGTATATAGAAGCAGGAGAAAAATAATTAGTTCCATGGCGGCATTTACCAATCCTGGGGATGTTCTGAAATGGAGAAATCGTTGCTAAGGAGGAGGATGGCAGCGACGGGACGGGTCATGCCGCAGGAGCACTGAGCTCACGGCACCCAGGAAGAATGTGCATGGTCCGCGTGTCGCTGCATTCAAACAGCACGTGCCCCTCCTGTGGGGCCCGGGGGTGGGGAGAAGCAACAGAGCCCGCCTTCCCATCTGGGGTGACCCCCACTGCTGCCTTTGGAGACTCTTGAGGGAGGAGGGGAAGGGCCAGTCTGCGAACATGCAGACCTTCCTGTCACCCAGGTGAAAATAAGCTCAGCATCCTGCTGCTCTTGTCAGGAACAGATGGGGAGGAGCCTTTCAGTATCGGGACCGCGTGTCACTGGAAGACTCGGGAAACTGTGTTTGAAATAAACACGTTAAGCAGTCTCCAGAGGTATCTGAAGCGAGATGTCACCATCATGATGATAAACTGTTATTTTCCTGTGATTCGCGTTTTTATCTTGCCCCAGAAATAGCCGTTCTGAGGTGTGGAGCTGTCTGAACTCCTAAGGGTGCACCAACTCCCAACTAAGCACTTTCATTGAGTATATCACAGCCACCATCCCCCAGCTCCGTGCAGAGCTGTCTTGGGTTTTCCTTCTCGAAGCTTGTAACAGGTTCTCATTATGCTGCAGAAAGTCACTTTTTTGGCTCTTAGTGAAGGGACTAGTACGTAAGAATGCTGACGTTAAGAGCTGGTTAGAATTACAGTCGGGCTATAGGAACACGGCAGGTTTCTGCCTTCAGTGGGCATAATGACGCTGGGCCACTGTCAGTGATGTTTTGTTCCCGAGTAGGACTGACTTCCTCTGCTAATAAAGGTGTGATGGTGTGCACTATTAAAACATCACTCCTGTATTTGGCCAGTGAGTGCTGTTCCAGTGTTCTCTGTGGACCAGTATCTTCCTCTCTGGGGGACAAGGTCATGCATTCCTTACACAAGCCACATTCGCCCTGGTCTCGTTTCAGCTCGGGTGTCTGCCTTCTGGGGAGTACGGGCATGTCCTCACTGCCTCCTTGAGCATGCGTTGCATTATGTTAGCTCAGAAAGATGACCTCACCCACAAGTCCATGTGAGTGTAGGTCCATCCTCACGAGTCCCCGAGACCTGTGTCCCCTAGCACGAAGGGAGAACCTGACCCCAGGGTGGGACCAGAAGTCATGAGCCCATGCACCTTATTCTTTGAGTGATGGGTCTGCAGTGCTTTGCTGTCAGTGCTGGAGCTGCAGCCCTGGTGGGTGGGGACCACGTGTACTGCACTGGCTGTGACACCTGTGTGCCTTCCTCTCCCGTGGGTACCCAGTGTCCTGAGTAGGTGGTCTGAGGGACAGAGGAGCTGACCCTGCTGCTGGTCTTTCTCTTGGTTTGCACCCCTTGCATCTGGGTGGCAAGAGCAGGCGAGGGGTCTAGCAAGTCTCGAATGGATCCCACAGACCAGCCTCAGGGAAGCCCGGTGCTGGGGAGAAGGAACGTGCCTGCCTTTGTTTCCTGTGTCCCGGTTACATGGCCAGACCTCAAGCCCTCCAGTCCTGAGAGCAGTGGGGTTGAGGGGCTCCGTTTCAGGGGCATGATGCCACAGGCAGAGCTCTTCATGCTCTGTGGGAGCTGGGGCCCTCATGTGATGTCTGGAGATCCAGGAGGTGGTAGCATGTGGAAACACAGGAAGCAAATTGGCTGCCACCTGCGCAGCTCAATAATACCACAAAGAGACAAGGGTAGAGGCCACGGGAGCCTGCGGTAGGCACCTAGTGAGTGGGGACGGCCAGGTAGGAGTGCAGGGCCTTTGTGTAAATGCAAATGGTAGCTGTGACAAGTAAGAAGAAGTTGAACTGAACAGAAGCTTTGCAGCAGATGAATCCTTGAGAGAGCCTACTGGGCCATGCTGGGTTTTCATTTTATGCCTCCGCAGCAAATACACACAGGAAAAAGGAACTTTTAGAAAGCAGGCTGCCCAATGCTGCACCATGCGTGGCCCAGGTGCTAAGAAAATGTCACCGTCCGGGCCCCAGCATGTCAGCCAACTATGATGACTGCAGTCCCCATTGGCTGAGTCTTTCTGCTGTGCCAGGAACACTCTGAACACGTAGCTCTCATCATTTCTTTGATCTCCACAACCTGTCGATGGCCACAGAGGGAACGGAGGCTTGAGATGAAGGTGGCCTGGACCCCGAATAAGTGTAAGTGCTCTGCTGAGACTCCATGCAGGGCTGGAAACCAGAGCTTTGCTCAAAGGCTTATGGGGCTTCAGACTTTGAGGGGAGCCCACCCCCCAACTGCCCCAGGCTTTCCTTCCTACAGAAGAATGCAGGAGAATGGAATCCTGGCATTCGAGAACTTTCAGAGGTTCTTCTTTGTTTATTTAACTCCTGCCTTCCCATATTAAAGTTGGCCTATACTGCC